GAACCTAACTATCTCTTCTGGACACGCAGGGATGACTACATGAGGACATGGGAGAATGATCAGCACTTGTACAATGCCTGTGTCTAAGCTGCACTGCATTCATGTCAGCAGTTGCAGAGATTTATTACTTCCAGGCTGCTAATTACATAGTGATGAGCCAGTCAGCGATAGAGATAAGCACTGTCCTGCCAGAAGCAGGATCTCTAGAAGTAGCTAGACCCCTCTGGGATCATCGAGCCCAACCTTTGCCCTAACACCACCATGTCAGCCAGGGTCTAGCTGACATGGTGGTGTTAGGGCAAAGGTTGGGCTCGATGATCCCAGAGGTCTGTTCCAACGTCACAGATTCTGTGATTCTGTGTAGTACGGGCTCTTGTGTGCAGATAGGCAGTCCTGGAGGTATGACTTGATTCTGAAATAAAAGCAAGCTGCTGATCTCACCACAGGGACAAAATGCTCTGTGTATAAAGGCTCCAAACCCTAAAGGTTATATTCAACCCTAGTCTACTAGCCATTTCCAAGACTATTTCTCAGGTACACTGATTCTCCTCCAAAACAATTCGGAGAGGCCTGGCAAGGTAAATAACCTTCTATTGCAATGAAGGCCATTCCTGTCACTAGAGCTTTATCAGGAAGAACTATTTAGAAAGACACAATTGGTTAATCTTCAGCTTTTTCAGAATCATGGTATCACTAAACTTCCTATCTATTAAGAGTCTTTCAGTGTGGTTTTTTGCTAATTTTGCACTTAAATAGCCATAAAGGGCACATCTGCCTTCAGCCCATTCTTCATTGAGCAGAGATTTAAATCAGTCTGGATTTAGCTGTATTTTTACACTCATTTGCCATGCTGCTTGCTACCAATATCCACCCTAAGACAAAGCAATCCTCTGGAACCTCCCACAGGTTCCCACTGCCCCCATTCTTCATCACCACATGCCCTGTACAAGGAAGAAACAGGGTTCTCCAATTGACCATCTTGTCTGTCACAAGAGTTAACCAGCCAAATCCTGCCCATCTATCCGCTTACTTTCGCTTTAGCATCCCTGCAGTAGGTTATGCAGGCCTCCTTACACTACCACCCAGCCAGGGATACTTTTCCGTACTGGCCATCTTCTCTTTCCTTTTGCCTTTCCTCTTGCATATTGCTTTTCTTAAGTTTTAACTTGTCAGGGCACGTTCCCTTCTCACTTTTTTCCGGGCTACACCAGCATGTTCTCATCCCTGCTAGTGCCCCTCCGCCTCTAAACACCACTGGCTCCCGCAGGCACCCAAGAAAAGCAGTTACCGTATCTCCCAGCAGAACATGTACTACTGCCAGTAAGGCTGGCGATGACGGTATTCTTCATCACTGACTGCTCCAATGGCTGCTATAGGAGCAAATAACCATGATGCTTTCTCCAGTGTGAAATACTGGCTTCCTTCTCTTCCCTTGTTCCTACTGTCCCTCTTCTGCCATGCAATTGCCTTAGATTTAATTCCTCTGCTCTCACATACAGTGCCCTCCTCTTTACCAAACTTACATTTAAAAAAAACATTCTGAATTCAATTCACACACATTTATAATAATCCATTAGAAAGAACAGCATCATTGTAGTTCCTAAAGTTATTAATCTGACACATCTCAGTAAAATATTCACAGCACATCATAATCCCAAACAAAAATGACGTGTTGAAAAGAATGAGCATTCTTAGCTGTTTCCTACATTTTGTTCTTCCAAGACAACATGAAAGAAAATAGGGTACCTGCTCTTTGACTTCTATATTGTGCTCCCCTTCCAGAATGAGGGTCACTGCTTGCATGATTTGCTTCCCATGAGTGCTCATTATATGGTCTATGTGCTGCCAAAGCAATGATGAAATACAGTCAGCGTAACTTTCCAGACAAAGAAGGGGCATTCCTACTTGAATTACTCTAAAGAGTAGCAACATTGCCCAAAGACCCTAGCTCCTAGCAAGGTCTCCCAAAACCAAGAACTTATCACAGCAGAAACACTTCATAATATTCCTCTTCATCTGAAGCCTGGTCTTGTTTGAGAGAGCATATTATGGGCCTTGGTTCTGATTTCACTGTAACCTGCAGAAAAGATACTGGTTTCCCAGCTGCATGGAGGCCAGTCTGAAGGCTGAATCCTGTTGGACCCAAGCTCTAAGTATGATGCTGCAGTTAGAAAGAACCACTTCTCTTCTGGTAACAGGGGGCTATCAGAGAGGGGTAAGAAAATTGAAGTTTCTTATCTGGTATTTGCTACTCTTACTGGAACACTGTGACCAGGTCCGATATCCACATTCCAAAAGTCTGAGAGCGTTCAGAGAAATAAGCCATATACACGACTTATTGTCTAGGACAACTGTCTCCAGCTAAGAGACTTACAGGTAAAAACATCATTTGATCCCAGACTATGAACACCTACAGTAGAATAAAATTGATCATTAGAAGTAACAGAAAAAGACGAAACTACATCTACTGGATTAACTGATACCAAAACAAGAGTGACAGCAAACAGCCACCAGAGTTTACCAGCACATGGCACACTACAATTTTTTAAGACGTTACAGATTCTTGTAGGACTTCTTGAAACTGCTAATAACGAGACTTCAATTCGAAAGCTGCTGGATGAGTTACTCTGGAGTGAGTTTTGGGTAGAGAATGAGAATGGTTGGTTCTGGCTCTAAAACATACTACAGAAAGTAGGTGAAGCTGCAACGTAATTTCATATGAAGAACACCTTGAGTGATAATGAGACTCTGCTGTCAAGAGCTCAGGGTGAATTTAATGAATGACTGGTTACTAAATATCTTTTCACATTAAGACAGAGCTAATTTTCTATGAAGCTTATTGAGACTCAACGAGTACAAATATCAGAAGATTTTTTGAGTGACCTTTTTATGGTAGAAACACAATACGTGATAAATGCACAGTAGAGGCTTCGTGGTTTTTTTCCCCCACAAAAATGTTGGCTTGCCAAATGTTTGCTGCATGTTTTCCCTCTGTTCTTCACAGGGGATTACCCCTTTCTTTTCCTCCACCAATATCTCTTTCTCCCTGTCAAAAACAATTCATGGGCTTACATTTTCAAACCATTTTATTTCAGTGTGTAAAATGAATGTATGCATTTTGTAAGTGCACAGTCCCACAGTCAAATTCAAAAAGCCAGTACTATCTATATAGTTGGATAAGAACAGAAATATTTCAGGTCTCAAGAAAGAAGAAACACAGGTATCCTTAAGATATGTACCTCTCCACACATTGACTCAACAGCGCAACCCTCTTATTGTTGGCCTGGACAAGTTTGACAGAAAGACTGTTAGGAAAATAATTTTGCTGAAAGCTAAATGCAATGGAATTGAACATTAAATGTAACCGTCTGCTCTGTATTTGATAATAATTACAAAGTTTCAGTGGATGTAGAGAATTCTTTCAAATGTTTTATTACACTGATTTGTACATTTGGCTACAGATACTTGGATAAATCCAAAGGCCTCAGTTATAGCAATGTATCAAACATTAATCTTAAACAGAAAAATAACTTGTCTTACAAAAAAGATTAAGAATTAATTTGTATTGTCTGCATGTTTGATCAGCTTTCAGCAGGTCTGTTTACAGCTCTACTTACTGGGCGAGTAGATAGAAGATTCCTGAGCAGTCCCAAAGTTTTCATCAGAACATTTACATCGGAATCAGAAAGCAACTGGAATAACTGCTCTGTACTCAGACCTCGTAAGATGTCTGATTTGATCTTCTGTTCTGCTTGAAATGCCACATTCTGAAAGAGACAGATTTTTTTTTTTTGCTTGATTTTTCACCTTAAACTTGGACTTTGACTCCTTTAGTAGGCTATTACCTGCAAGCATATATCCTGCATATATTAATCTTGCAAAGGTTACAATTTATGAGGAATTGCTACACAATGAATTAAACTTCCACACAGTCTTACATCTGACCAGGTTATTACCTGCTTTTATTTGTCCCCTAACATGCTACTGACAGTATTTAACTGTTTCCCTGAATGATCTTGGCAACCAAACTGGTATTGGAACTGAAGAGTTTATTTTACTTTATGGGCTAACTGATGAAGTGTTCCAGGCTGATATCGTTTTCCTTCTGTAGTTAGGCGGAAAGACAACCCAGATTTCAGCTATGTTATTTTCAATAAAAACTAATGAGTTCTTTAAGTCACATTCACAAACTTTTTCAGAAGCAAAATCACAAGTGGTATTTCATCAGTGTGTTCTACTTACCATTAAAGCCCAAATGCCGTTCACTCGCAAGGCAAGATTTTCACTCTGTGTTAAACTACATAAGAGTTCTATGGCTCCTGATTCTAAAATAGGCTAAAATGGAGGAAAAAAAAACAAAACCAAAAATCACAACTTTAAAACACTAGACTAATTAGACATATACACAAATGCAAACATAATACAAAAAACCTCTTGCTTATATCTTATTCTTGAATTCACAACATGTCCAGTCCACTCAGACGAACTGGCCAAGTCACATCCTATATTCATGAGCATTAAAAGGTTCTTTTTTTATGAAAACACTTGCATCAAGATGGCGTTACTCTCATGTGTATCCATGTATGTGTACACATGTATATGCACAGCCATACACATGTGTTTGTATAGACATATTATGTATAGACACACACATACTGCTGTGATACTATACACACACCTGCCACACTCACACAAGCCAATAGGTTTTTCCCAACAATTTTCAGCTTGGGACTGCTCTCCAAAAACAGTCTTCCTTGAACAATCACATCTTTTTGGGTATCAAGTGGGATGTATGTGACTGTTTAAAAGAGGTCAAGGACAATGAAAGCTACTTGGTATCTCTCTTGACATTGATCTTTGTGTTTAGTATCAGACCAAACTAAAATCCAACAGAAAAACTTTAGCATAATAAAGAAAACTGGAGACTGCTCTTGATGATCACATTGAAATGCAAAACCTTGTAGTATTGCATTGTTAAATAACAGGAAAAATATCAATACATGAACCTTTTCTTTCAAACTGATTAACATAATGAAATTCAAGTTTGGAACAACTGTTTTCAACCTGAACCAAATTTGGAGTACTAATTTTATCTAAGACCTGAGGAGCTCATTCGCTAGATGGATTCATCCAGTGACTTATGCTGCTCAAGTCTGTAGGGTGTGTTCCTTTCTTCCAGAAGTTACTGCTTCAAAAGCAGGGAATAAATGAACATATCTGAGTTTCTGGGAAGTTGTGAGTTTAACCTCCTTAAGAGCTGAACTCATCAGAAAACAGGAATGTGTGGAAAAGGCTCATCTCAGTGAAGAGCAGCAAGACCGTAGCAGAACCAGGCAGCAGCAGTTTCTGCCAGAGTTCACCTGGTCCCAGGCACTTACTGCCAGTGATTTCGCCACAGGCCTGGTAGCTGACTGGCTGCCAGGGACTTCTCCACAGCCACAGCAGGTGGGAGACATTCCAAAATTGGATTTGATTCAGCTCTTTTACAGAGTAAAATACAGATCCACTGCAGCTTCGTTTATTTACTTAAGTGACTAGTAGTTTACAGCCAATTTTCAAAATACTATGTAGGAAAAAAGGTGATATGTCAAATAAAGATTAGATGATTTATAGCTGCTTTCAAATCTAACATTTCTCAATAATCTTTCATTTTGCACAAGCAGTATTTTCTTTTAGCAATGATGTTTTTTACATGAACTAAGTGTCCTGACAGAAAATTCAGTATTTCAATCCAATTTGAAGTGGAAACACTACACTGACTGTGACCTGCAGTATGAACAAGAAAGCCCATGGGCCAGTGAACTGTGCTTGCCATTATTTCAGTTAATGTTCTGTCTCACAGACATGACTAAAACCACCAAAATAAACTGATCAAACCAAGGTAATCCAAAGTGCCCTGTAGGAGCCCACACATACGACAATCTTGCAAATGTTTTCTGTAATTAAGAAATATTTAAGACTTGGGGAATTGTTCTGTTGCTATGAAGTATTGATATGTATGTATGATCTGTATGGAGCACAGACATTGCAGAACTCAAGAACAGATATCCTGTTTCGTTCATTCACAAACAGTAAAATCCACAAGACTCAACTAATGTCAGCATTTTCAAGATTACAGCAGTAATTCTCTAAGATGATGGATCATACTGCCAATTATCAGTTTGTTTTCTTCTTGCTTTTGAATATTTTAGATAATAGCATTTTAGAAGTAAAAAACTCCAAAATTTCATGTCTACTTCTTTTCTTTAGAGATTATATTTAACTATTCAACCATATTTAACTGTAGCAGCACTGTAAAGAGACAATTGTTTGGTTTTTTTTATTCACAAGCTATCAGTGATACAGTCTGCCTGACTTTACAGCTCTATAATGCTTGACAAGCAGTGGCTACCAATTAAGATACCTTTATGCTTATTCAACCATTGTATAATGAGACTTTTGTCTATTACCTCTTCTTGCTTCTGGATAAATACTAACCTCCTTGCTTGGAGAGAATTCCAGAAGAAGATTGCATAGCGTGGAAGATGCTACTACGAGGATTTCATTTGGAGCATTCTGTAAAACCTGCAGTCACAAACGGGAGAGTGAGGAATCTCCGTTAACTAGGAGGATAAGGGAAGGATCATTTTGAAATGGAATACCTGTAACTATGCTGCACTTTGATATTCCATACTTTAGGAGATGCTTTGATGCTAGCAGTGCAGATCCAGACAGTGCTCATTCAACTCAATGTGATGATACACATTACACGACAAGCTGGAGCAACGCAAAGTTACTTCACGGAAGTCAGATTTGAGAGCCGTCAGGTCCAATTTAAAAGAAACCAGTGGGAACAGATCCCCCCTCTGCAAAGCACACGTGTGCTGGCAGTTGTAATTTAGCTCTGCAACCATTCTCTCAACAGAGTGCAGGCTGTGTCCTGCAGTGCACCTTAGTGTTGTGGTTTACAGAAAAATGGAGGAAGCTTCAGGAGGAACCTCCTCAACACTTCTGTACCTCGTGGAAAGCACAATACAGCAAATTTCCTCATGACCATCCTTTCAGAAAGGCAAGTAGCCTGGAACAAGTTATACTGTCTCTTATCTGTGCTGGGATCTCCACTGGGACCAATACATGCCATTCTTAAACAGAGTATCTCCCTTGCATGTTCTGGGAAAACTCAGTGAGGAAATAGGCATGGAGGACACAACTGCTCCTCCAGCAGAGAAAGGGGGAATGGAGGGGTCGATCAGTCCCGCCTTCTGTTTCAGAGCAGCGAGCAAACCTCAAACATTAATGATTACTGCATTTACAGCGGCGTGCACTAAAATACATATACGCAAGTCCTATAATTTTAGGCATCATTCTTCCATGGCTTACACAGCCCTACATGCTAGGGGAGAGAGAAAGGACTTACATAGTTGTTATTAATCTAGACTGAAAATTAATTTATCTTTATTTAAGATTATTTTTATTTTTCTATTAAGAATAATTCTTGACCTTTTGGAATGAACATACAAGTTTCTAACTTCAGCTCATTTAATACAAATCAAAATTAACAACTGCCAGCAGCTGCTTTTACATAGTTTTCTGACATCTACATTTCTTTTTTTCACGCGGCTCTCCTTTTATGCTAGTTGTGCTTCTTCAAGCAATCCTGTCATTTTTGTGTTTTACATTTATAAAGGTTTGATATTTTCACATTTGGCCTTTCACAAATTCTTAAAATATTCAAACCATTCCCTCCAAACCCCTTCAGGTGACGATCATGAGTCTTGAATCATAGGATTATTATGCTATAGTGATAGCACGAAACTTGCATGAACAAATCTCCCTTGACCTCTCAATAAGCCTAACAAATTAGACATCCATGGATTAGTATCACAACTCACACACCCAATCCAGGGATGAATGCTTAACTTGTAGTAAGTGTATACTGTCAGAAAATAATTTTTGCATCATTTCTATCATGAAACTGTAGAAAAAAGTAGGCCCATACTTTAGGGCCCCTAATTCATGCAAGCAACATAAGAGACTGAGAAAGTTTCTTGGCCCACAGCCAACAAGATGGCCAGAGAGTGTAGGATAACTAGTGAGTCAAGTTTTCTTAACTGCGTAACTTGTGAGAACTAGAATATAAGCAGAACAGAGAAAGTCAGGCCTGAACAAAATGTCACTGAGTAGTACGCCCAACAAGCATCTCTCTTGTATTGAAATATCACTAGAAATAACTGAAGGATCTCTTAATCCTTTGCTTCCTTCCAGGCTCTTGAGTGAAGCTTTGGAAAGTCAGCTCATGTAACTGCCTCGTTTTCAGGCTCATCTGTTCTTTTTTGCAGACAACACTTTCTCTGGTCTGGCTATTTTACTTCTGAATAGAAAGTCAAGCTCACTTCAGGTGATTCTTTTGGTGATTTTCAATACTGCCCAAGCTTTCAGGTTTCTTGCTAGCAGACTGACTGTTTCCCATTTTCAAGGTCTAAAAGATGCTGAAACTGAGAAACTGGTTTATTTATCTGCACCTAATGACAGTCACATTACAGGATGAGAGATGATATATACCTTACACACTTTGATCTCAGTTAATCTTGTGGATAATTGCATTACATTAAAATGTATCTTTTTAAAGATCTTGCTGAGCTCTTTGGCTTTCACAATCTGCAATGGGACCTAGAAGGTAGAGAATTGCAGGAGAAAACACAGATCTAAATTCTCTTGTAGGGCTTATAGACCAAGCCTGAACCGTGCCATCTAGTCTCAGCCTGAAATTAAAGTAGATACACTTCGCCTAGTGCCCTATGTCAACATCAGGGATAACTTAGCTTCATTCACTGATCACAAAAAAAACAACCAAAAGGAAACAAAAAACCAACCAAAAATGAAGACTGAACCACAGTCTTCTCTGCTGCTGCTTGGCTTTTGTTGATTTATGACTCGCTTATGAGAAGGACATGGAATTTTGATTGCCAGGTAATTTCCATTACGATTCTACAGAAAGGCATGTAAATTGAACAGATACCATATCCTCCTTTAATCAAACAGAACACTTCAGTAGTTGAGACTTGACTTTTCTTTACTTACCTTCATTAAAGGTTTCCATACAGCATGATCCTGAAAACTTGTCCTGAGCTGCTGTACAGAACGGGACAAACTGTGCAAACATCTATAGCAGAAAAGAAACATTCACTGTGAAACATACCCACACACATGTACACTACTGTAATATATACATTGCTTCTACACAAAGATTCAGCTTAGAATTCGGTAAGTAGTAGAGTGTAAATAGCAAAAAGAAAATATTGGACCAGTGCAGGATAACTCCCCGCCTCCCTCAATAAATTTTCCAACCAGTAGAAATTACTTCAGATTAGCTTTTGAAAAATTAGCAGAAATTCCAACACGTGCAGCATCACACGTTGACAAGACAAAAGCATTTGTATGAGTCAGAAAAGCCTCCTACCTGACTGCAGCTAATCGCACCTTGATACTAGATTCAGACAAGCCATTAACAATACGGTCCATCATATTTTCAGTCTCAATGATCTGGAGTAAAAAGGAATTAATGTTATATGAATAAAGTAATATGAGCGTTTATAGGTTGTTTTTTTTATCTGCAACATGTTAAGTATTGCATATAGAAACTGTAACTAAAAACAGCAAGCCACATTCTCTTCCCAGATTAAGTGGCAAGTAGTGTGTATCTGCATAGAGTTCAGAAAAAACACCTATGTTCTATGCTCCACTATTGCTTTCAAAATGATTTTATTAATCATCAAGGAACAAGAGAGTTATATATGAATTACGCTTAATGTCATATTAAAACAAAAGAGAGCATGTGTGAGTGCACACGATATATACAAACTACAGATTAGAGACACATTGTAGAGCTATCTAGAAATAAATACCTAGTTCATCTGCCATATTTAGACATGGCCAGCACAAGCATTTAAGACTAGGATAAAAGGGAGTTAATACCAAGATGAAAGATGGCTTTTGTATAATAAATCATCTTTGTCACGTACACACCCACCACTTACTAGAAACAATGCTTTGATATGTAAAAGAAGGATCCTTACTATTAACTAAAGTAGTTTATCCTGCAACAAAAGAGAAGTTTATGGGTTTGAATTCAGGAGATCCTGAATGGTTCTCCACTGATCAATCTTCCTGCTAGTTACCTTCTCAACACTGTGTTTCCCCACCTCCTCCCTGTCCATTTCTTTCTTCCTTCTGTTTTTCGCCTTTCACCAGCAAATAAACTCAGAAAATTCTCCTGCCTCCTGCACTTGCCACATTCGACATAGCAACTCTGTGCTTAATTTAAAAAAAATGTCGCTTTTGATCATTCATTGTTTAATTTCCCTCCACTCTCCACATGTAATTTTTTATCCATATGAATGCTCCAATCATCCAATCTCTTTCCTGTGATGTCTGAATAGAGTTTGTTCTCCTTCACACCACTTGCTTTGTTATGACAGAGCAAGCCCCCTTGGTCACTTCAGATTCATGGAACAAATTTTGACTTTGTTTCCCAGTGTGATTAGACTTCTGAGGGTTTATTTTCGAAAAATCCCATTTGTTTTATAATAGGATACATGACAACAGAGGTATATCCTGTCCCTCAGAATGTAGGTTTCAGAAATTACTCATATGCCACAACAATATTCCTTATGAGTAGCAAGGACCACAACATGTTGAAAGACAACTTATTGAGAGAATCTAGTCAAGATGTTTACATAAACAAACTTCACTCTTGTTACAGCAAATTTTTGTTCAAATCCCACGCAAAGACAATGTCATCTGAAAGTTTATATTAACATAACATAAAGAAAGCCTTCTCATTTCAACCTATTTACATCACAATGAAAAAAAAAGGGGTCTGGAAGGGTGCAAATTCTTGCACTGCCTTTCGGCATAACTTTCAGCTACATCTTTGCCTGATTGCTGACATTTTTCACAGGCTTACCTTTTTTCGGATATCTTCATCATTTGCTCCCAGGGAAGCATAGAGCTTGAAAGCAGCCTGGCGCAGCTCATGGGCGTGCTTCAAATCATGGTCAAGCTATTTAAATAAAGCGCAGATATTAAATTTAGACACTAAAAAGTTACAGGTGTGATATTCTTATTTGTTGTAAACTACTGCTTATCTACTGAGGTTTTCTGTACCACACCAAGGTCAGCCAGAAACACAAATGAACTGTTGTTCCATTAGCTGATGTCCACATTTACCAAGTGAATACAAGAACTGAAGTCAAGAATATGGTTAATTTCCCGGTTGAGTTACAGGTAAGTCAACTTAAACAATTTGAGGCCAAAATGCTTCTATAAAGTTACAACTCTATCCAGACCATATTCAAGCAAAACCTGTTCTTACCTACCCAACAGAAACTTACACGAACAAGCCAGGAGAACTGAAAAAATTGGGAGAGAATCAAAGGAAGTTTTATCAAGAGAACTGAGGCAAAAGCAGGAACCAAAGCCAGTCTCTAAATCACAGGACCTGCATCTTAAGGTGGAGGTTAACTTCCGACTTCTGCTGTAAAGCCAACACAGCAAGGTGCAAGCTACCTAGGAGGTTTCTGGAAGGTAACTTCTTAACACAGATTCTAGAGGGGCGAATTACGGTGATGCACCACTGGACAGGCTGCTCACAAATCAGGAAAATGTGCTTGGGGATATGATAATTAATGGGAGCACTAGCTATAGGGATCGTAAAATAGTGGTGGTCAAGTTCCTGAGAGGTCTGAGAAAAGCACAGAGCAGAGAGCCTTGACTTCAGGAGAGCAGACCTGGAGGAGCAGACAGGGTGTACCCTGCCGTGTTCAGCCAGGAGAAGAGAAAGCTGAGTGGAGACCTAAGAGCCGCCCTCCAATACCTACAAGGAGAAGGTGAAGCCAAACTCTTTATGGAGGTGCACAGCAAGAGAAGGAAAGACAATAGTCAAATCGAAACAGGAGAGGTTCTTACTGGATATAAGAAAGAAAGAAAAAATTCACTAGTAGGACAGTCAAACTTTGGAACAGATTGCTCAGAGAGGTTTAATTTCCATTCTTAGCAGTTTTCAAGAGCCAACTGGAAAAAGCCTCGAGCAACCTCTTCTAAGCTCAGCACTGACCCTGCTTTGAACAGAAAATTAAGACTTTCAGACCTCCTCACGTTCTTTCTAATGAAAATGATTCTATGACTCTGCCCTCAAAACTCTGTACCAAGGGGTTCCACAAAACAACGCAATATTTAAAGTTTACACAAAATGCCAGAGAAATGCTAGTATTAAGCAGCAAAGCACTGAAATAAAAGAACTGTCAAAAATTAAGCTGTATGAGTAATTCTCTCTGGTGCAGCTATATTAGAGCAGAATGTATTGTATCATTGTTTAAAATATTTTAAACAGACAAGTCATCTGTTTGGTAGAGTCCTCACTCACATAGTTTTTACCTTACAGAGTGTAATTCAAAGCATTCTTTACAAAGTAAGCACCCTGGCTTCCCAGCTGACTGTTTTTACAGACTTTCTGAACACTCAAAGCAGTGTCATAATATTTATAATTGCCCCACTCATATTTGGAACCTGATAATATTTTTGATGCTACAGCCAACATCCATTACTCCCCAATCAGCTGCTAAACTTCCTTCTGTTTATTTAGTTTTATAATGCAACTAATTTTTTTATATTTAATTTGCCTTTTTACATAGAATTCAAGGCAACTCTATACGTAGAATCAATCCCATTCTATAGAAGTCTGAGAAGTGAGTCTACCTCTTGGGCTAGTTTCAGAGAAAAAACAAGGCTCTGTAATCCTCTTTTTTTGGGTACTTTCTAAAAAAAAAAAAAATCATACTCAGTAAGCAGGGAAGGGAATAGGCAATGGATATTTCCCTATGCAGAATATCAAAACCAATCTTGCTTCTGAGGTTGATTGATCCACTAGTGCTTTGATTGATCCACTAGTGCTTTGGCAAGTGTATGCAAATCTGTAAAAAAAAGTTCACAGATGAGAACTCCTAGTACAACACTTAAGAAATTAAGTCTCCAAGGTATATCTGGTCTCTGTTTATCTAACCTCTTGCAAGTACAGATAACTCACAATATGAAATGCTACATGACATCCACATGTTTTTCTGCTTTAGCAGAACAGAACTGTCTCTGAACTTAACATTTTTCACAAACTTGACCCAAGAATTGAAATCTCTCTCATCACATGGACTATTATCTCTTACGAAGCTGAAATGGACTGGCTCCTGAAGTAAGTCTTTTAAACTCTGCAAAGGAGAAACACGACAGATGTCTCAGTCTGGTACTTCATTGCTCCCTCTGGAAAATGTATAAAACTCATATGGTGAAGCTGTATTAAACTACCCATAGCCCATCTCTCTACCTTTGACACAGAAGAATGGCAGCATCCTTCTTACAGGATGGGGCGTCCAGATACACAACAATTTTAGTCTGGATAATACGGGCTCCAGAAAAAGCAGTGAGCAAGCAAAGACTTTGGGACTACATGCATTAGGAGGAATCAAGTCCTACTGGACCTCTGGTCACCTTTCTGCTGAGGAACTCAGACAGAAGATTTAAAGAGAATAAAAAAAAAAAGTATGCTGAGCCCATTTATTATTGGTTCAGTTTTGCACATTTTTCAAAGCTTCAGAACTGGGTAAGGAAACATACCCTCTTGATATCAGTGATTGCACTCACTGAGCTGGGATACTTGAAGTAGTCAGCAAGCATGACAATGAGGTGGTCGGTAATGCTGGCAATTCTCTGGAGCTCCACATCTGTTTCAATCAAATAGGCCAGTGTTTCTGCTCCTTCTACTCGCTCCTCCAGCAGTCTTTCCTTACTACACATTCGAACCAAACACGGCAGAGTCTGAAAAGTTAAAAAAAACCCACCACAAAACCAAAAAACAACCACCATCATTTAGTGCAGGTACGTTCATAAAGAAGCTCACAACCCCCCCCCCCCCCTAAAAAGAAGCCTCCCCCCCCCCCCCCCCCCCGCCCAGCTATCCTAGAGCAATTCTCAACAATGTTCTTTAGATCGGTACCTTCAGACAAAAGGATTTTAGTGGTTTTAAAGACTACACACACAAAGAAATTGTTCAGGCATTACTAAGTATACAATAGGCTACTTTCAACCAACTTCTCATGCAGCCAAAATTAGTCTGTATGAACGCAATGTTTAGAAGTGACCATAGTCAAAGTTTCCCAAAGCTAAAAAAAAAACCGCACCACAAAAAAACCACAACACACCAACAAAAAACCCAAAACCCTCAAGAGTTCATATTTGCACAGGTTTATTCTTACTACACACAAGAACCAAAAGTACCCAAGCTGCTCTCAAGAAGTACTTGACCCTTCTTGCCTTTTTGCGAAGTAGGACTGACCAAGGACACTGCAGTCAAAAGTAATCTCAGGGCTTCCTTGACCCACACTGGCTGCTAGGAGTAGCAGTGAAGGGAGGACTACTCCTAAGCAGTATATTTGGTCAACCAGAAACTTGGAAGTCCACTTGGAATCCAGGTCCATTCTGCCTTACCCTGACATATCCTCCTACCTTAGTTACACTCACATGGCAACATTTTTGTCATACCTTCTCTACTTTAAACATTAAAAACAATAAAACCTCTCTTTACCTGAAGCTCAATGAAAAGCACTTAACCCTGGAAAGACCAGTTCTCCAATGGTTGGGACTCTGTTAACTCAAGCCTCACCAAACAGAAGTATGAAAATGGATGAGGAATAATATCAAGGTTTTTGCTTGTGTAACTCAACTGACTTCAACAGAATTGCACTAGTCGAAAACATTTCTCAGAGTTATGCTTTTGGGGGACTTGAAATAACATTTATCCATTGACTGTTCAAATGAATAAATAGATAAATAAATCTCCACTCCACAGGTAAGGAAGCAGAGTTACAGGACTTCTCTACTTTTATTTAAAAAGTAGATGTTACCACAAGGATTACCATTTAGGTTGTGATTCTTGCATCTAACCCAGTAGACCAAAGCACATCGTCTCTGAATATCTGTCACTTAAGACATCAGATAAGACTTTCAGCCTGAACAGTTGAAAACTGGTTTTAATAGCACAGACGCACCTAAGAACCTTCTGCTTCCTTAGGAAGTTTGCCAGAACTCTTTAAAAAAAGACGACCGCTGCTGAGTGTTCGTAAACTTAAGCAGCCCTCAGAAATTACCTCGTTCCAACAGTAAGATTTCTAGGGCCCTCTGCAAGTTTGTTCCAAGTTTACTTTAAAAGCCTTCAGGCATTTAATTATTACTATACTTTTTAATCTGTAGAATTCAGAACTGCACCATAATGATCAAATATCATCAGTTTCAATTACCAAGCTGGCATAAGCTATATTAAAAACTGTGGCTAGCATAAATAAAATCATGAAAGCTGAACATAAATTTTCCAAAAAAATTACATTCAGGTTGACTAAGAAAGAAAAGTGTGGAATTACATGTCTAAATCAAAGATAACGTACTTCTCAATTCTTTCCAAGGTCAAATGGCCTGAAATGAGTTATTTCTTGGAATTCAAGGGCTAGACATTAAGTCACTGGCTGCAAGCACCCAAGAAACACAAATCTCACACTTTTCAACTTTCGGCAATTCCATCTGTTTAAAATTAAACGAGAATCAAGAATTCCAAAGGACACATTTTACCTGTTCCATTAGACCTACAGGTCAGTACAACATAATTAATGCAGAGGAGTAGGGGACTGTATTAGAGGTATAAGATGAAGAGCCACAAAGCACACCTGATCGTTTCTGGCCAGTAGATAAAAGTCTGAAAATAGACTGTAAAGATGGAATACTTAATTCGTATGGTATCGCTGGGGTGCATCAGGGTTATCTAGACAGTCACTTTTGTTATTAGGATTCCAGAGAAATAACTTCCATTCCAATCAAATCCATTATTGATCATCCTCCCCTGCCTTCTCCCCACCCCAACTGATTTTATTTTTTCACGTGTTACAGGCCAACCCACTGCTCAGACTGAGTAACGAAAATAAATCAAAACCATTTGGGAAACACACATCCCTGACTGTCTTCCAAATTAAGAAAGTTTGATAGCAAAGGGTCAAAGTTCTCTTCAGTAACTTCTGAAAACTAAAGGGGGCATCGCTTTGTTTTAGTTCACCAGAGCTCACACAATTTGTGACTGGATTTACCACAGACTGAGACAGTGTGTTATCTTAAAACTATGAGCTCCTGGAGTGACCCCAGAAGAAAAGAAGAAATTACCCGAGCTGTCTGAACAAGAAGCCAAGGTTCTGTGCCTTCTTTCTCTCCTCACTCTTTCATCTACTCTCAAGTATTACAACAAATTTTAGTCCACAGCTTAAAACATTTATTTGCACTGAAGCAGTTTCCATGAGAAAGAAAGTGCTCCTATTGCTGTGGGCTGGCAAGCAAATCCCTTCATAATTGTTTGAAAGGACTGCAGTTATCCGCTTGGCCCACGTGGCAGAGCGTGCGTGGCTCCACACAGACAGTTAGCAGCCAGCTATCAGCAATAACCTGCCTTTGCCTACAGCAGTAGTCCCCTGTTTCTTCTCCTCAGGGCAGGATAGTTCTGGAACCCACACGTCCTGAGCAGGACATAGCCCAGGGCTGAGCAGACAGTGGGGGATTTCTTGAGCAAAAAAAATTGCAAAACAAGAATGAGGTTTACAGGAGTGCAATAGGTTGAGAGCACGGAACTGTAGCCCTCAGTTTGCAGATATAAGGAGAAAGAAGATAGATGAGGGAATTGGAGTCTCAATTTGGAAAAAAGCTAAGCAGGAGAAGGATGCAGCATGGCTTCCTCAGTTGCTGTAAAACCAGACGCCTCTGCAGAACAGTTGCCACTATCAACACTGGAATGAACTGCATTTTGGACTTGCTTGTGTACAAAGTGAGGTGGGATGGGCCTTTGTCTCAGCTAGCATAAGAATTTTTCATTTGTCATTACTTGGAATGATGGATACCAAAATCCCACTAACAAAAGCTGTAGATACGGCAGACTCTACTGCCACGGATACTGAAAGGTATGAATATGCTTTCTTACTGCAGTATCTTACATACAACCTAATCTTTCCCGAGCATTACCAAAGAGGAGGACTTGAAGGGAAAGCTCTTGACACTGCTGATAGTTTTCCAGTTTAAAACGTGAGCTTGCAGGAGCCATCAGGGGTTTGCACCAGAACACAAGATACTAATCAGTAGCCTTTGGTGGTGAGTATTTGATACTTTAAGCAGTACACAGAGTTATCTGCAGTGCCACGGACTTGCTGCACACTCTATGGTCACACATACACTTAGTAGTTGTCTGTTCACAACAGAATGTGAACACCACAGAGGGGCCTTTACAGCCAAAGACAAAGAAATCCTGTAAAAAGTTACTGGGTTTCAGATCACACACACCACCAAATCCTGACAACGACTGCTTTGCTGATTCGACCCTTCACTTGCTACACTCATTCCAAGAGCATGTGTGATCTTCTCCATCTCAGTACAGGGGCACATATGGGGGGAAAAAAAAAAAGTTTTCAGGCATTTAAACTGCATTTCCTTAAGTCTGAAGTATGTGTTATTCTCTGGAATGAAAGATGCTAAAAACATACTAAAAGTTTTGAAGTCTACCAGACTGCTACAGTAATTATCAAAGAAAGCAAACATGTTTTCTTATTGCAATACTACAGTAATACTTCAATATCTCACAGAGAAACAAGTAGTGTTAGTATTATGTGATATCTGACTGATATGATTGCTCATCAACAGCTTTTTTCTTTTTTTTCCTTTTGACTATCTATAGAAGAAAGAGATTAAGAAAGATATTACATTCCTATGGTATTTAATTAAGTTTCCTTTACTGAATTTCCTTATAAAGTCACACGCAGTACAAAACCCAAGTCCAGTATTTCAGCATGACAGTTTCTTTTTTTTAGTAACAAATTTCCCTAGCCAAAATATGAAGCAGACAAATGTACAAAAAATGTACAAACAACATTGTGAAACCTCAGAAATCATCTGCTCGTAACAGACTCCATGTATAGATTGTGCAAGCATTCTGACTACAGCCTTGTGAGATAATCTATTGAAAGACAAACCAGCGTCTTGTTCATATACAGAGACCGAGGCAGTAACGTTGTTTCCATGTTACTTACAAATGGTTACTGAAATTATTACAAACCTCAAATGGATCCCTGTCAAACTCTGGGATATTTATTCCTGGATATTGACCTTTCAGTATGATTCTTTATTTAAAACTTCTTTAAAAAGCCATGTGACTATAAATGCTTAAGGACACAAAGGGAAACTCGGGAACTAATTTTTTTCAATTAAAAAAATCAGGAGAACTTGATGCTTTGAAATCTTCAGTGTAACAGATTTTGTGTTACTTTTTATATGACCAAATAAAACCAGGATAGCCCTACCTGAGAAAAATATTCTATACAGAAAACTGTTTAACCAGCTCACCTTAAGAACGATGCAAGAATCATCTGTCCGTATTGCTCCAGCTCTGCACATGGAAGTAAGGCTGTAACAACATAATAAAACATACATTCACCTATCACTGGGTTTTATGCACCTAAGACGTTGCAGGACCACCAACTGTACTAATGAAATGTATTCCCCTTTGTTCTACCATTCATTTAAATACATCTGTGCTTACTAGACTTGGGCACACGAACCAACTACTACAGGTGTACTTTTAAGCAGATTTCTAGTATAGGACGTCGTGCTGGAACATCGATAAACACATGTACCACACACTGGTCAAAAAAGGTCTAACCATCAAACTCAATTGATCCACAGACCTCTTTTACCAACAAAAAAAACCCCAAATGAACAACTTACATTAAGATAAAGGAGCAATACATATAGACTCATCCTTTGCTGTACACAGCATGGGCAAGCACTTAAAACAAGCAGGAGAGAATCACTATAGAGTTGGTAGTCTGACAGCTTAGTCAGACACCATTCAACCTTTGCATTAGCCTAGCAGATGCGGTACTGTTGTGATGCTTGTCCACAGGCACGTCTTAACACTCCGCTGGAATAAGAATGAACTCTAAGTCTCTGACACTGAGCCAAACCTTTATCAGACAACAACTTAGCAGGTATGACAATGCCAAGGTCTCAATCCACAAATTTGACACACAACATCAGACAAATGCATAAATTGCTTTGTTAATTTACCTGTACATGTGCTCCAAGCTACCAGAAATGCAAAGTCGTTCACCCACCAATAAAAGTGTTTTATATTTAAGTGGTTTATACTTTTTACCTACTCTGCTACAAGGAAGTGGAATGCAGCTGGAGGATAACTGCTCTGCATTCAGTGCAGGAGCAGCCAAGTACCTTTTGGTTTAGCTTTTGAACTAAGCCATTGTAACTGGCCTTTATCATGCCACAGTTGAGGTTAAAAAAAAAACAACAATTGAATTTCAGTAAAGCTGACTTAAAACCAACATGTTTCAACACTCAGTTGGGCGGGTTAAAAGTGTACATAGGGTAAATTATAATTGCTCAGCTAAGGAGCAGTAATATGCTAACATACTGTAACCATATTGCATTTCACTGCATTCCTGAGCTCCTTCCAAGTGCCTAAAAAGAGTTCTTTCACCTCTTAGAAGGTAACATCACTGATCCTTTTCCAAACACCTACCGGTGACAGACATAGCTAAAATCCTGTAATTGGAAGTCTTTTTATATATTATTTCTCAGAAGATAAAAGATAAGACTTGACTGTTAGCATAGAGACCATTTTATAAACTTTTACTGTCCAAGTCTTGCAGTTGAGAGCAGGAAATACTCATTTTCACACCCGAACAATCAGGAGGAAAGCACTCGTCTTGCAGTTGCCATTTCATCCAGATAGATCCTATTTGCCAGACAAAGTAGCTCTACTTCAAACACGAAATAAGTTAAAGTATTTTTACTTCAGGTAAAAAAGGCTTGGCCTGGCTGGAAGCAATGCCAGTAATTTTAGTAGAAAAGGTTACTGCTCCACTTGTAGCTGCAAATCATTCTCCAAAGAGGCTTACTGCTCTTCCCTCTGTGCCAACACTGCTGCTCAGGTGAAGGATCTTTACTCCATTTCAGCCAAGAGGTATTAACTTGGGTCCTCCAGGTCTTCTTCAATTGTTGAAAACCAAAGGAAACTTCTTAAGACAGCCTTGTACGTCAGTCCGGATTCAAACAAAAATTTAACAAAAGGCTTCACAAATGCATTAAAAAAATCCCTTCTACATCCACCTTCCAAGGACTCTACTAATAAATCAGAGAGGAACTGTACATTAACGACCAAAACCAGCAAGGCAGCAGTGAAGTCTAATTTAGAAGCAGGAAAAAAGAGGACCTGTGACAATTTCACCTAATACTCTTATTAGAAAAAAAGAAGAGAGACAGTCTATCTTGGAGGGGATCAAGTAGGGAATGGACTTACAGAAGAAAAGCCAGTAGGTCTTTGCAAGCCCCTAGGACTGTCACGAAACTGAGGCCTTGAGTGCCCTACTAAGAAGGATGAGCGCCTGTGGACTAATTAGAAACTCAATCTGAACTCAAGATACTGGTTTGACTTCCATTTTCCTGCAATGTTGTTGTTTTTTTTTTTTTTTCCTCCTCTTTTCACCACATCATTTTCTTCCATGCTTTCAAAGGTCCACTTAAGCCAAAGTACCGCAAAGCAACAGCAAAACATAGGATTGTCTACCCAACTCCTTCCAATTTGAAGCAGATCAGTAAAGAACATCAATAGACCTGAGAGCATTCATCTCAGAACAAGAAGACAGTCCAGAGTCAGAACATTCTTTTAACTCCAATCTGCCTTCATGACTACCAACTGCTTTATATCTTGAGATCAGTGAAAAAAATAATTTCTAATACTTATTATCTATGTATTCTCTGACTTCTCAAAGAAACATGTGAATTAAACAGAACTGAGAGTGCTACACTGCAGTTAATTTAAACTTGCCTTCTTCACGAAGAGCCACCTAACAAAACCAGTAAAACCAGACTGCATAGACCAATTGTGGTTGGAAGAGAGCGTAGAAAGTCCCCAGATGGACCTCTCACATGGAGTGGGATTACCTAAGACTCCCCCCACACACACACTTCTTTATAACTGCTTTCATGAATGGGTTAAGTCATCACAACTTGGCAACATTACAAAAGAGGCCATGCTACCTACTCCATTTGTTCCTCACCCAGGCTCTCAAGACCTTGCACTGTGACAAGTGTCAGTGAAATTGTTTGGTGAACTGAATCAGAGAACTCACTGATCCAGGTCAAAAATAAGCAATCAAAGACTAAAAAATAATCAAACAATACATCACGGACCAAACTCTTGAGTTATGTTTAATTTTAGTAGTTTATAGTGATGGGTAATTTTATCTCTAACTCCCTGAAGTAATTTATTCCATTATCAACACAACAAAAGGAAAAGGGTCTTAAAGGGAGTCAATTCCCAGCTTATGCAGCGAGTATAACCCTAGTGTCGCTGTTAGGGAACTTGGTCACGTTTTGTCACACAGCAGGAAGTCATTATGGGTACACACACAGAGAAATGTGCCCACACCAGAAGGGAAAGTTTGATTTAAACTGTAAAATTAATTAATAACATTAATTCTGCTGTATGAGCACATGAAGCTTAAACAATAATCTATTTTAATTAAAACAGTTGGGAAGAGGGACTAGCTCTGCTCTCTCATCGTCTTAGTGCGTACAGTTCTCAACATACCACAGCCTCAGTCACCTGAGTGAGTCCTCTGAACAGTGGTGCAACAAGGAGATTAACCTGTACTACATGATGATGATATTTCAGTACGATACTCTGTAAGGACATACAATTGACCATAGCCTATTAAACGTAAAACTTATCATAAAATCCAAGCTACTTGTGAAAACTGCAGTCCACCTTATCAAAATCCGTATGTCTGAATACACGCTCCTGACAACTGCTGCCCAGCAACATTTTTTCCTGTTTATGTACAGCAAAGACTGAAAGTTATGCTATAAAGATTATTAGGTGAGAACCACTTCTTCAAGGATTTAGATAACACAAATAATACCTATAATTATTCCTAAGATCTTAGATCACACATGACTTTGCAACAAGCAAGAAGGGAACAGTTAAAAAGTAAGTATTAAATTGCATACTATTTCATTCTAATTCCCAACGAAAATTACCATTTGGCTGATGTGAGCTGCATTTCAATAGGCTTGTCCCTTTGTAACATCTTCACAAAAATTTGCGGTAACAATTCTCCATCAACTGACACTGCAAGTAATAAAAGAGAACTCCAGGTAATTCTAATTCAGTCAATCAAACGAGTGCCAAATAAGCAACAGCAGCATTACACTTACCATTTACAAGAGTCATTGATACCTGTGGGTTTTCAAAGGCTAGAACCGAGAAGCATTTCAATGCTTGCATTCGAACCTGGGTAAAAACATAATATATATGAAGTATAAACATAAATGCTAACTTCAAAGCAAAATTGGTCTATACTGCTGTATAGACTTGTTGAAGTGATTCTAGACTAATCTTAAAACAAATATATACTGTAAGTTTTACTGCCACTACACAGCCTCAGGTATCACCTGCACAAAAAGGATTCACAAATGTCTTCATGCTGGATCTTCGTACTACTCCAGTCCAAAGCCATGTCTTGGTTTAATCAAACAATGTTTCCCGGCTGCCTAGTCATGCCAGGCTATGAAGTCTTTATAACTTCTTTTTTGACACAGGGAAGACCAACCATTACCATCTTCCCAGATGAACAATCTAATTTAGTTCAGGTATTAGGTCTTTGACTTCACCTTCTACAGTTGCACATATTTAAACTGTGCCCATGTCTTTCCATGTTTCTGTTACCACACTCTCAGTGTGAAAACAAAGCAAAAGGAACAAGATTTTGACCTAAAGAATCCCATCACTGGAGAAAGCACTTCTTGCAAGTTAGGTTTACGTCCATCCCACCCCCCTCAACAAAAAGTCAATGGAAGTCCAAAGGTAAATAACAACAGCAAAGACAATCAAACTTCTGTGCGTTAATTTTATAATATCTAATCACAGTCATGGTAAGATCTCATCAGTAGCAGTGAGGTTGTACTCAGGAGGAATGGACAGCAGGCTACCTGGCTTCAGAACAGAAGCCTTGTTTGACAACACTTCCATTTACTTTTCAGACAATCTAATGAATACAGTGAATGCTTCTAAGCAACAGGAAGCAGAGACTGTGTACTAAAAAAGCACTGAAAAAAATCAAACCCACAGCTCAAGAGCTGTATTCCTGCCAGAAGGAAGTCAGGGGCAGGGGGCAAAGGTTCTGATGAGAACAACTGAAGTCTAGCTGGAAGTTAACTATTTTATATAATATTGCTCTATTAAAGATACTAAAATTACTATGATGACTACTTTCTTTGCTAGCAACATCTACTTCAGGGCAATTAGTTCAGTAGTTACATGAGAAAGAGGGAACACAAGCATTTGGAAAAATATGTAAATACGGTCTTGAAACCATTATTTGTAATGCCGCTGTAAAAGCTGTAGTCCCTTTGTGTGAGACGTCTCACCAGTGGTTAAGCTGCACGCTTCTAATGATACAGCACGTGGGAAAAGACACTCATAGCATCAGCTGGCAATGCAACAATCCCAAAATCAAAGGAAAAGAGTTTCTTGAAAAATAATAGGCAATTCTCTTGGTAGACCTAAACAAACTCTGCTCATGGGGACTGAAATCCCATTTTGAGGGTTTCTGCTGTTTAATGATGTGGTCCTATTGCCTGAATCATCTGAGATACCTTGCTGGCCTTTACTGTAAGTATTGAAAAATAGGCAAAGCTTTTAAATGACATCTTTTCCTATTAAGTTCTTATTTGGCTGAATATTAAGAAACTAGATAGAGAGATATGAGAATGAGATGGCTTGTATCATACAAAAACGTATCGATGACATTAGAATTCTCAGAATGGCTAATTACTGCAGAACACTAAGAGAGAAGCTAAGACCACAATGAAGTTGCTAATCCCAGGAGTATTAACAGAGGAAAGCGTATGAAGAGCAGTTCAGTATGTACACCCGGAATTTAAAGGCCTGATCAACCTAGTAAATAGAGAATACATGTTTTAAGTAAGGTAGGACTAAATATATACACATATTATAATGCAATGCTGCATGTATCTTGTTGGTGAAAGACCAACTTGAAAACTTTACCTTGCCCCGATTTCTTTATTTTAAAGCAGCTCTTTGAAAAAATTAGGGAAGGTTCAAAGCTATTAGAAGAGGTTCCAAGACAAACATAGCTTAGAAAATTCACCTTAGGATACAGGGTAAAAAAAGGTCAGCTAATGGGAGAAAGAGCAAAATGTTTCCTGATCATGGTGACAACTAATTAGTACAGAAAGACAGAAAACAGAAGTTTATCAGTCTCACTAACAAAATATTGAAGACTGCATACTTCCTACTGGCTTTATAAAAAAACCCCCAAACTCCAAAACCAAACAGAAAGTGCCACACATGAGATTAACAAGCCCGTGGAGCAGAGCACCAAATTTCCCTGCACTTGAAATTGT